ACACACACACACACACACACACACACACACACACACACACACACACACACACACACACACAAAGTAAAATCTTTAAATGACCTTCATAAAGTCTGGAGGGACAAAGGGACAGTCTGGTGGTTTTTGAAGAAGCATTCTGGTTAACAGTCGTCAACAGCCAGCCTAGGCTAATGGTTAGCTAAATGGATGCTGTAATTTTCGGGAATAAAATCCTCTGTCCTTATCGACATGATGAAAAAAATAAATGGTTTTATTTAAATTAAATGAACACTTCATTGTTTGTTTCTGTTTAATGAAATGTGTTTTTTCAGGTGATTAAAGTTCAAGCATCTGGACACGTCTACATCAACAACATCCTTTCTCAGCTTCCACTGTCCACACGTGAGTTTTATTTTAATCTAAACTCTGTGATCTGAAGCTGGGAATACAGCAAATTARTAATCCAACACTCACCTAGACACACAGAGAAGAGGTCTGATCTCTGTTTCCTGTTTCTTGTCTGCAGCTGAGCTGAGCGCCTTCAGGCCATCCTCGTTCTACATCTTCATCAACACCAAGGTGGGTCTCCAGATCGCCATCCAGCTGTCCCCCATCATGCAGGTCTTCCTGTCAGCTTCCAGGTTCAAAACAAATACTTCAGGTATGTTTCAGACTGGTTTCTAACTGGTTTATGACTGGTTTCTGTCTGGTTTATGACTAGTTTTTGAATGTTTGTTGACATTTTTCTATCTGGTTTCTGACTTGTTTCTGACTGGTTTCTGTCTGGATTCTGACTGGTTTTTGACTGTTTGCTGATATTTTTCTGTCTTGTTTCTGACTGGTTTCTGTCTGGTTTATGACTGTTTCTGACTAGTTTCTGACTGGTTTCTATCTGGTTTATGACTGGTTTCTATCCAGTTTCTGACTGGTTTCTGACTGGTTTCTGACTGTTTTCGGACTTTATTCTGTCTGGATTCTGACTGGATTCGGTCTGGTTTCTGACTGGTTTCTATCTGGTTTCGGTCTAGTTTATGACTAGTTTCTGACTGTTNCTGGATTCGGTCTGGTTTCTGACTGGTTTCTATCTGGTTTCGGTCTAGTTTATGACTCGTTTCTGACTGTTTTCTGACTTTATTCTGACTAGTTTCTGACTGGTTTCTATCTGGTTTATGACTGGTTTCTATCCAGTTTCTGGCTAGTTTCTGACTCGTTTCTGACTGTTTTCTGACTTTATTGTGACTAGTTTCTGACTGGTTTCTGACTTTAATCTGTATGGATTCTGTCTGGTTTCTGACTGGTTTTTGATTGTTCTTTCCAACAGGACTGTGTGGAAACTTCAACAACATGGCAAGTGATGACTTTCGAGGGTGCAGTGGTCTGGTGGAAGGAACTGCTGCAGATTTTGCCAACTCGTGGACAGCGTCTTCCTCCTGTAATATGATCTCGACTCAGTTTGGACATCCCTGTAGTCAGGACATCACAAGAGGTACACAGGAAGTCCTGCACCTGCTGTTCTACCACTCACAGCTGATCTTTGATTGTAACTGACTGTAGATGTTTGTTTGCTGCAGAGATTTATGCTCAGTACTGGTGCTCCAAACTGACAGACCCCAACGGTGTGTTTGCTCCCTGCCACTCTGTCATCAGCCCCAGCACCTATAAAGATGTAGGTCTGCACACTGGAACCACAAAYAAACCTTTTAATGTGGCGATGAGACACTCTTCTACTGATGTTAGGAAAACACAGATGGACAGAATGCATTTGGACAATGAGCATCTGGTTTCATGAGATTCCGACAGTTTTGTGAACCGGACATGTCTCCCGTTCACAGTCAGATGAACAGGTTTTCTTAACTCTGGTTGGGTTTGTGAGTGTGAACTGATCCTGACCCGTGTCTCCTCAGAACTGTGTGTATGACAGCTGCATCTGTGAGAAGAGTGAGGACTGTATGTGTGCTGCTGTCTCCTCATACGTCCTCGCCTGCTCAGCTAAAGGAGTCCACATCAGCGGGTGGAGGGACGTCATCTGTGGTGAGTCAGACATCAACATCCATTTCCTGTTCCACAGGTGGGATTATTAATCCACTGCAGACAGACAGGAGAAMTGTCTTACAGCAGGAAAATAAGGACCGGATTTTAGTTTGCTCAGAGAACTTTAAAAAACAAAAGTAAAACCTTTTTTAGGACTTCTGGCCCACTCCTCCATGCAAACCATCACTCTTCAGGTTTCTCTGCTGCTTGGAAACTTGAAGGTTCAGCTCCTCCACAGTCCTCTCCAGACCTGAGTCCTCTGGACTGGACTGAGGTCTGGAGACCAGCTGAGCTGCTCCAGGACCTTATACCTCCTTTAGTRTCTAAGCAGAAATCCAGCCACAAACTATAATGTTTCCACCTCCATGCTTGACTGTAGTCATGGTGTTCTTTGGGTTCTTCCTCAAAACATGACCAAGAACTGGACTTTGGTCTCGTCGGCCCTTAGAACCTTTCCTGAATCCTTTAGATGTCCTCTGGATGGACTGAAGAGTACCATATTCTTTTCTTGATTGTCTGCAGGAACCTTCAGCTCCTGTCCAGAGGGGACGGTGTACCAGTCCAACATGACGTCCTGTGGACGGACGTGTCGGTCCCTCAGTCAGGTGGAGTTCTGGTGTCAGAACAGTTTTGTCTCAGTGGACGGCTGCGGCTGCGCTGAGGGAACCTTCATGAATGAAGAAGGACAGTGTGTGTCCAGAGGAAACTGTCCCTGCTACGATAAACATGACATTATTCCTGCTGGACAGGCTGTCTTCAAGGATGGGGCCATATGGTGACCACTGAGAAACATTTAGTTCAAACAAGTCCAGGTGTTTCCAGGATTCTAACAGGATTTGTTTTTCTGCAGCATCTGCAGACACGGAGCTCTGATCTGCTCAGGAGGAACTTCAACTCAAAGTAGGTTCCCTGTACTACGGATGATACTACAGTAATAATAAGTACTATAATAACATAAGACTGATCATTAGAATGAAATCACTCTAATAAAACTGGATCCTCCCAACCTCAGCTTCATGTTTGGCCCCCATGGTTTATTTTGACTGTTCCACTGCTAAACCTGGGACCAGAGGGGCCGAGTGTCAGAAGTCCTGCAGCTCTGTGGACATGGAATGTGTGAGTACAGCAGGTCCTTGTGGGCTCAGGGTCTGTTGGCTCAGGGTCTGTGGACTCTGTTGGCTCAGGGTCTGTGAACTCATGGTCTGTGGGCTTAGGGTCTGTGGACTCTGTGGGCTCAGGGTCTGTGGACTCTGTTGGTCTGTGGATTCTGTGGACTCAGATCCTGTGATTCTTGTGGTTCCAGATCAGCACAGGGTGTATGTCCGGCTGCATCTGCCCTGACGGGCTGCTGTCAGATGGAAATGGAGGCTGCATCAACCAGACCAGCTGTCCCTGTGTTTATAATGGACAGGTGTACCAACCAGGACAGACCCTCACAGTGGACTGCAACACCTGGTGGGTCCACAAACAAACAAACAAACAAACAAACAAACAAACAAACAAACAAACAAACAAACAAAACCCTTCAGTTCTGTGTGAGGTCATTGAAGCTGTGAATCTAAAAACAGATTTTGGCAGCAGGTCTATAAATGTGTTTTAAAATGTAATATTTGTGTTTGTTTGTTTGTGTGTTTTGTTTGTTTGCTTATTTGCGTGTTTGTGTGTGTGCACAGCTCCTGCAGTGGAAGGACATTCACGTGCACAGCCAACGACTGTGACGCGGTGTGTGGGATCTACGGAGACGGTCACTACATCACGTTTGACGAGAAGAGGTTCGACTTTAACGGACAGTGTGAATACACACTGCTGCAGGTACACTGTCACGACTCAGCACTTTCACAGACACACAAATGCTCCCGCTCACTCAGACCTGCTGCCTTCACCTTCCTCAGGACTTCTGCAGCTCAGACCAGAATGATGGAAGCTTCAGGATCATCACTGAGAACGTTCCATGTGGAACCACAGGGACCACCTGCTCCAAGACCATCAAGGTGTTTTTGAAGGTAAAACCAACACAAACACAGACCTTACTTCTGCTGGATTTTCAGATCCAGCCTGGAGTCTTCCTGTTTTTTTGATGCAACAGGTCCTGCTCACCTGGTTGGAGGTGTTTCTGCAGCTCTTGTTGTAACTCCTTAGTCTTGGTCCGGCTGAACGGGGACCACTGCTGGACCTGTTTTCAGTTTTCTGTAGAGATGTTTGAGGTTTAGGTCAGGCCCTGAGGTTCCTGAGCCCCTCCTGTGAGTCTTCTCTGGGGTTAGAGGGTAAACCTCAGGTCCAGTCTGAGGTCCCAGTCCTTATGGAGCAGGTTTTCCTTCAGCTGCCCCCAGCATGATGCTGCCACCACCGTACTGCTCTGGCAGCTTTCTAAAATCTTGGTTTAGGAGTAGTTGTACAGAAAGGTGGACCCTCTGGTGTCAAGACCTGTTCCACCCTCAGTGCAAAACTTTTCTGAACATTTTTATCTTGATGTTTTCAGGAAAATGAATTCCATCTTAAAGATGAGACCTTTGAGGTGGTGAAAGGCAACATTCAGGATCTCGGTGTTCAGATGCAAAAAATGGGAGTTTACCTGGTGGTGACGATCAAAGCAGGACTTCTTCTCATGTGGGACCAGAAGACCAGTCTGTTCATCTCCCTCAGCCCAAACTTCCAGGTATAAACCTTTTATTAACAGGAAGGTAATGCAGGTTAAATTCCCTTCAGGTTSAGTTTGGGATAAAACTCCACAGATGGATAAATAATGTCTCGTCATGTCAGAGTAATTCTGATTATTTCCCTCTCAGGGTCTTGTCTGTGGTCTTTGTGGAAACTACGATGGCAACAGTAAAAATGATTTCACAACTCGCTCTCAGGAGACGGTGACAGATGTTTTACAGTTTGGGAACAGCTGGAAAGTTTCCTCCAGCTGCCCCGACGCCCAGCTCATCAGCGACCCCTGCTCCTCCAATCGTTACCGAGCCGCCTGGTCCCAGAAACAGTGCAGCATCATAACCAGTCCCACCTTCCAGAGCTGTCACAACAAGGTGCTCCTCCCTCTCAGAGAAGCATCTGACCACGGAGTGGTCTGCAAACACTACTCCAGCTTTCCTCAGCTTCTTTTATTTTCCTTACAGCTCAGCTTGTATTGTTACTGATAGGATGAGAAGTTGTTGAGAAATGGTCTTTTTCCTGTTTAAGGTTGACCCTGGTCCATACTTCGACTCCTGTGTGAGGGATTCTTGTGCTTGTGACACTGGAGGAGACTGTGAATGTTTCTGCACCGCTGTAGCTGCCTATGCTAAGGCCTGTAATGCAGCGGGGGCGTGTATCAGCTGGAGAACTCCAAAGCTGTGTCGTAAGTCCATCATCTGGCTTTTAGTACAATAATCATTTAGTTTGATTTATACTGCAACAAATCACAACATCAGATTCCTCAATCAATTAGTTTTAGTCTGTTAATGACTTACCTAAAGTGTGTTCCACTGTCAAAGTTCAGCTGTACGCAGACGATGCTGTATTGTATCCACAAGCTAAAACAGCACAGGAAGCAGCTGCTATGGCACTGATATGCAACTGGCTTCAAGATTCATGCTTGCATCGTAATACAAAAAAAAACTGTTCATGTTTTTTTTTCACGCCAGAAAGCAGACGGCCCAAAACCAAGTGTTTCAGTAAACGGAGAGACTTGATGTAGATCAGTTCATGCACCTCGGTGCTCTGTTCGACACAAATCTTACTTTAATACAACGTATTAAGACAACTACTAATGTAATAAAATTCAACTCAGCAAATATTTGTCATTTTAGACCTTTTCTCACCACAGGCAGCTAATACCTAAATGCATGCAATGATTTGTTCTCATATCTTATTGTCTTATAACCTGGTCTCATCCAACAGCAAATGTGTTAAAACCATCAAGTCTCTGCAAAATGACAGTGACCTTCTCATATTCACTGCTGTAAAATCATTAAGTACAAAGATTCAATGATTTCAGTCTTGTTTTTATGCCTCTCCACCTTTAAACTGATTTATTCATAAGAACACACCCAGAGTGAGTAGATCTCAAACCGTTGATGTGAGACAGAAAAGAGTTTGGGTGAAAGCTGACGTCAGTCAGAGGAACTCTACCAGCAAATATCAGACTAAGACAATTAGACCATTTTAAACAGAAACTTAATGTTTGGCTGAAAGAAAATCATTCGTTCATAAAATCATTTACCTGTGTACTCTGTAGTAAGAGGGGTTTGTGTTTGTTGGACCGTGTTAAATGTAGTCTGTTTGGTGTGCTTGTTTTATAAACTGTTACTTTTTTATCCGCTCAGGACAACGGACGAAATTTAACTGTTACAGCATTTATATTCACAGAATACTGATTAATGTGAATTGTCCTTTTAAATGAATAAACAAAAAAAATCAACTGATACTTGCAGGAAATATAGATATATACAGTGTGTATCAGAAAAAATTATACTCTCAGAAAAATCGCCATAAAATTAACATAGATGATAATTTTGAAAATGTGGGCGTAACCTTTGGTAGAGGGGATCATTCTGCTTCGAATGACATCAAAATCTTAGTTAACGCTTTACGCTCCAGTGAGCAGGGACAGTTGGAAATTCACACAATTCATGTCCTTTGCGCAAGGAAATGTGAGAGTTAAATTATGATCTGTCGCATAAAATTAAAAGTTTAGATGGTGTTTTACACGCATGCCAAGGCGTTTTTAAAATAATTAACCCTTGCATGTCCTAACGTTGAACCAAAAATGTCTAATTTTTGAGTAGATCAAAACCAAGGGTTAACAAACACGTGAAGTGGCCGTGGACAAGTCAGTCCAGCCAACTATTACATGTTATGTACTGTACATGTACATGTATTCAGTGGGTATTACATGTAATTATTCCATAACCTGGTACAAGATCATGTGATCGTGTGGTCATTTTCTKTCATTAAAACAACATGATCACAAACATCACCTTATCTTATGCAGAAAATTGCAACAATTGTTCTGAGCCGTCTCACTGTCTTCCACAACGTTAAGAAGTACCATGCTTCTGGGACCAGCCACAATCTCAACAAGGGGAGGTCCGGCCAACAAAGAACCCAACGCACACCAGCCAACATTGAAGTAGTCAGAACCCTCTTCAAAGAGCAACATGCTGGAGAAGCATGAGAACCCTAACATTTGGAAACTCATGTTGGAACAGCTCAAGGAGAGTGYGAACGCTTTTCGTTTGGAGGTAATCAGTAACCAGGAAAGACCTCTGCTGCGCGGTGAACTGTGGTCTGGCTATTTTACATCACACAGGCTAAGGCAGGAAGAGAGACAACTGCACAGGTGCTGACAGGTTTTAGGTCCAGGAATTATGCAATTGTCTGCATAAGATAAGGTGATGTTTGTGATCATGTTGTTTTAATGAAAGAAAATGACCACACGATCACAAGATCTTGTACCAGGTTATGGAATAATTACATGTAATACCCACTGAATACATGTACATGTACAGTACRTWACATGTAATAGTTGGCTGGACTGACTTGTCCACGGCCACTTCACGTGTTTGTTAACCCTTGGTTATGATCCACTCAAAAATGAGATATTTTTGTTTCAACGTTAGGACATGAAAGAGTTAATTATTTTAAAAACACCTTGGCATGCGTGTAAAACACCATCGAAACTTTTAATTTTATGTGTCAGATCGTATTTTAACCCTCACATTTCCTTGCGCAAAGRACATGAATTGTGTGAATTTCCAACTGTCCCTGCTCACTGGAGCATAAAGTGTTTACCAAGATTTTGGTGTCATTGGAAACAGAATGATCCCCTCTACCAAAGGTTACGCCCACATTTTCAAAATTATCATCTGTGTTAATTTTATGGCGATTTTTCTGAGTATCATTTTTTCTGTTACACCCTATATACTGTATATATATCATCATAACATCCTGAAAGAAACAGTTGCTGTCCGTCTCTTCTTGTTTGACATCTAGAAGCTAAAATTAG